GACTACTGTGTACCAGACTTGGCTAGTTTTTGTTCTCGCAGTCTCTTTGTTCCCTTGACCTCGGCTTGTTCTTGACTCTGTCTATTCTCTGCTATACGGCGAGTCTGGCCATTCTAAGGTTCGGTAAGTCGTATCTGCTCTATCTGTCGATTGTTGAACTAAATCTTGCGTGTAGGGGTAAACTACCGTGACATGTAGTGTGTGTGTGTATATATATATATATATATAAAAACTTACTATTTCTGGCACTCTTCCCCAACAAAATCTTAAGCACAAAAATTCGGACCAAGGTGCTTTCTCAGTGCAAAATATATAATCCAGAAAAATGAGAGCACTCACTGGGTTTATACAAAATGTGTATTAAATTTTAGACAAAATACATCAACGTTTCGACCGTCAAGCGGTCTTTATCAAGATCTTGATAAAGACCGCTTGACGGTCGAAACGTTGATGTATTTTGTCTAAAATTTAATACACATTTTGTATAAACCCAGTGAGTGCTCTCATTTTTCTGGATTATATATATATATATATATATATATATATACACGCCTCTCACACACACACAGCAGCCCCCACACTGCATTCCTTACACACACAATACTTCCAAACACACACATTTTTATATATATATATATATATATATAAACAGTATCTCACAAAAGTGAGTACACCCCTCACATTTTTGTAAATATTTATTATATCTTTTCATGTGACAACACTAGAGAAATGACAATCCGCTACAATGTAAAGTAGTAAGTGTACAGCCTCTTTAACAGTGTAAATTTGCTGGCAACAGTCCAAATTGGGCCCAAAGTGTCAATATTTTGTGTGGCCACCATTATTTTCCAGCATTGCCTTAACCCTCATGTGCATGGAGTTCACCAGAGCTTCACAGGTTGCCATTGGAGTACTCCTCACAGCACTAGTGGATGTTACAAACCTTGACATCACAGCGCTAGTGGATGTTACAAACCTTGCGCTCCCCCACCTTCTGTTTGATGCTCAATAGGGCTTAGGTATGGAGACATGCCTGGCCAGTCCATCACCTTTACCTTTAGCTTTTTTAGCAAGACAGTGGTCGTCTTGGAGGTGGGTTTGAGGTCGTTATAATGTTGGAATACTACCCTGCGGCCCAGTCTCCGAAGGGAGGGGATCATGCTCTTCTTCAGTATGTTACAGTACACACTTGTCTTTGTACTCCTCACCTGGTTGCCGCCACACACACTTGACAACATCTGAATCAAATAAGTTTATCTTGGGCTCCTCGGACCACAGGACCTGGTTCCAGTAATCCATGTCCTTAGTCTGCTTGTCTTCAGCAAACTGTTTGCGGGCTTTCTTGTGCATCATCTTTAAAAGAGGTTTCCTTCTGGAACGACAGCCATGCAGACCCCTTTGATGCAGTGTGCGGCGTATGGTCTGAGCACTGACAGGCTGACCACTCTTCAACCTCTTCAGCAATGCTGCTAGCACTTGTACTTCTTTTTCCCAAAGACAATCTCTGGATATGACGCTGAGCACGAGCACTCAACTTCTTTGGTCAACCATGGTGAGGCTTGTTCTGAGTGGAACCTCTCCTGTGAAATCGCTGTATGGTCCTGCCCACCATGCTGCAGCTTAGTTTCAGGGTCTTGGCAATCTTCTTATAGCCTAGGCCATTTTTATGTAGAGCAACAATTCTTTATTTCAGATCCTCTGAGAGTTATTTGCCACGATGTGCCATGTTAAACTTCCAGTGACCAGTATGAGAGAGTGTGAGAGCGATAACACCAAATTTAACACACCTGCTCCCAATTCACATCCGAGACCTTGTAACACTAACGAGGCACATGACACCGGGGAGGGAAAATGGTTACTTGGGCCTAATTTGGACATTTTCAGTTAGATACATTAATGGCTGAGTGTTGAGCTATGTTGAAGGGACAGCTAATTTACACTGTGTGACAGAGTCTATGGGAGGGTAATAGAAGGAAGGTATTTAGGACCCAGAATCCTCCATATCCTGTACTCATTCACCTGCCCAATTAGCAACTGCTGAGGCTTTAATTAGCAGGTCTCAGAGCAGAAAGAGAAGAGATACAATCTGACCTGCAGAGAGCAGGTCTGTGCAGAGCAGCACCAGAAAAAGTGCTAAAGGTTGGTGAAACCAATGTTTATTTTGTTGATTTGTTTAGATTATTACCCTGGTTTAGTAACGGGAATTACTTTATGTTTAGTAAGTGCTTAAATTTGAGCTAGGACTTTGTAGATTTTCCTTTCTGTTTTGCTGCAATTTTGAACAAACTGATTGCTGCATGGATTTTGGTGCACAATGTAAATAAACCACACCTTTTTTGCATAAGAGACTGTTGTTCTATACCTGTTACACTAGAGGACTGTGTTGCTTTGCCCATAAAGGTCACAACTGTTATACAGGTTGTACACTTACTACTTTACATTGTTGCAGTGTCATTTCTTCAGTGTTGTCACATTAAAAAGATATAATAAAATATTTACAAAAATGTGAGACTTTTGTGAGACACTGTGTGTGTATATAAATATATACATATATACATGTGTGTGTGTGTGAGGGATGCAGTGTGTTGGGGGCTGCTGTGTTTGTGCGAGAGGTGTGCAGTGTGTGTGCGTGTAAAAAGGGGTGCGCTGTGTGTGTATGAGAGGGATGCAGTGTGTGAATATGTTTGGAGGTATTGTATTTGTGGGGGAGGCAGATTAATGTAAATATACTAAATATGTTTTGTTTGTTTTAAATACTTTTTTTTTTTTATCTCCCCTGTCTTCTCACTTTTTGCCTCTGAGGGGGACCTTGCTGCAATCCCTGGTGGTCGTACTAAAATGTTTTAGTATTTTAGTTACTCTTAGTATCTTGATTCACATTCCTAAAGGGGTACACAATATGGATTAGTAAAATATGGAAGAACAATGTAAACAAAGCTCTGAATTTGTAACTATGTGAAGAGCAGTATCGATAAACAGAGGGATTTTTCCTTCAATCCAAAAGTAAGGATCTTTTTAGTTAAAATTTCTAAATCTTCCCTAACGTATTTATCAAATTGCAGGAGTGGGATGTGGTATCATCTTGGAAAAGATCTCTTGGGAGATCTGGAGCATTGCCATGGTAACTGTGGCAATGCTCTGACCTTGCGAGAGGAACTCGACGGAGCAAGCTAGAGCCCACTGGTCCTCTCTCTCCTCTTTCTCTCCCTTGTCGGCTGCCCAGTGAAGTACCAGTGGGCAGGTGCAGGAGGTCTTTTATCTCCCCACCGGTCCATGAAGGTACACAGCAGGGCCGAGGCTTGGATAGTGCCGGCCCTGCATTGGCCGACAGAGGAGATCCTATGATCTCGCCTGCTGGCCTCGGCCCATGGTAATCGCAGCCCACCAGCATTTGCTCGGTATGCCCGATGGCCAGTCCGGGCCTGGTTGTGAGGGTTTCTTATCAGGGGAGTGAATAATTTTTGTAAGTTGCATTTTTAGTTGAATTTGGGGAAACTACTTGAAGAATTTGTTGCGTTGAGCTGTTTAAATTGCTTTTGTTTGATTTGTTCATTGCAAACAGCTTAAAGTCTGTAAATTTTGACACAACCTGATTTTCAATGGAGTTTGAAAATGTTGATTACAACTGTATAGAGAATCCTTTCTTACAAAATGTATCAGATAAAACTTCCGTTACTGATTTCAGCAACTGCCAGGGTAAATACAAAACGTCAATGCTTTACAAAAATAAAACACAGAAATACATTAAAACATGTGATAAAATTTTGATTGCAAAGACACTTTTGTTACCTTCCCCAACCTTCCCTGCCCCCTAAGATCAACTAGTTCTATGAGTCACATAGGTTTAATAGTTATAGCATTTAACGTGAAATAAGTAACAACATCAAATATGGGTGCTTATCATTGTGTGTACTGAAAGCTTATATGGATTGTCTTCTTTAGGTTGGGTCTAAACTGTTATTAACAGGAAGCTAGATTTGAGATGTATTTTTATTTATTTTTTTTATAGATGCTTCCATGCAACCATATTATGAATCTACTGCCAGGGTCTTGAATACAGTTTTTGGGGATAAATATCTTGTGTGAAGATCACAGAGTGATCAATCCGTGATCTTCACACAAGATATTTACGACCCTCTGGTGTCTATTTTCTATCAAACCTGTGTCTTATCTACACTCATTTCACTTTAACCCCTGTATCACAACTCAACTTTGAATTCTTTGTGTTGTCTTTGCTCAGAAATGCTTTAGACTTGAGAAAGGAAAGTTCTTTAAAAAATTATGTTAGTCGAATAAAAAAGGTATTACAAGATACTAATTTTTTTTTTGCAGTACATGTAATGAATTTCACATCGGCAGTCCTCGAGCTGTTTTGCATATATAACAACTATCAGGTAACAAGTGGGGTAATCTCTAAGCAATGCACATATTTTAGGTATATTTATGATAAGATAGACATCTGATTTTATGTAGCTTGAGTTATCATGGGGTAGGGGAAACATTCGGTACCTTGCTGATGCTGCATGTGTGCATGCGTGTTTTGGAGAGTATATGGATTAGGGTCACATACGCTTTGTATATATTGGGTGCTTCTGGGACTGCTAGGCATGGGCAGTTGGGTAGACCTCCTGGGGAATATGTGGTGCATGTGGTTTGTTTTCGCTGCAGACTATGTGACACAATTTAGCCATGTATGTTGGGTCTGGCTGGGTGTTGAAAAGGTGAGTTTCGCCTATTAGGCTGACTATTGGCTCGGGCAACACTTTGTCTTATTGACTGCGTGGTAGAGACCTTTAGTGTCTGGCTAGTTAGGGCGTTAAGGGTCAATAGTATATTATATTTAGGGTGTTGGGACATGTTGTGGAGCATATCAACTGTACATCGCTTTAAAAGCCAAATTGGACGAGTATATCAAGTTATTCATAAAGGGTTGGATGTTGCACTTGGCGTTAAGTCCTGCACTGCACGGCTAGCAGCCGTAGCAGGGGGCCTGCAAACCGTCATCCGATGCCACTGTTGTGTTTCAATAGGTAGTCCTTTGTATTTGCCAGCCCAGTGTCTCCACTCACCCTCCTGCTGGTCCGTGTCAAGTGTCGGTCCTTAATGGATGCCAAAGCTGTCAGGTGCAGTGTGGAAAGATCTGGACACTTCTGCTGATTAGGTCCTTGCTGGTAGTTGTCTGTGCTGGTGTGGTATGCTGGGGAGATCTCTCCCCTTGCGTGTGCCGGTATTAGGACACTGTTGCAGTGGGCCTTGTGATTGACAGTCGTCTGTTGTCTTCCTGATGTGGGTCTCATCTGTGTGGAGCTGCGATGTTTCGGAGACAGGGATCCTCTTCTGCCCCAGGGTTGCGTGAGGGCTGGTGCTTGTAGGCCACGAGCCTGGAGACCGTCGTGGTCCAGGCTCGACCTTTTCGGGGTGGTGCGAGGAGTCTTGGCAGGTCGCTTGGGTCTTTGCTTTGCTTTTCCCCGCTTGTGTGGCCAAGGAGGGCCTAAAATGTGGGAGTCGGAAGCTTGGGTTTTGGTGTTGCCCTGAGAAGGACCCTCACTCACCCATCTGCCGTTGGCTCTGGTCGTAGTATGTAGGATTTTGGCATGGCGCTTCAGCCCGTAAGCGTGCCCATATCTTGGCCCAGAAGTGGTCAAAGATAAGAGTAATGGGGTCTCTTGCTTGTTTCCTGGTGTGCGTTGCACCAGGTTGTTTTCGTTGCTTGTCAGACCTTGTTGTCTGATAGTGATCCGCCATCTTGGGTGTACCCGTCTCCGCGTGTCTTATGGAGGTCTTTGTACCTGTCACTTGGTGCTGGGTTTGGGGTACTCTGTCTGGCGGGGACCGGGATATGCCCCACCGGTCCACAGTGGGGGGTGCGTATTTCGCACTTGCGTGTTGCGTTCAGCATCTGGCAGGAAGGTGGCCGTCCTTCCCCCGTGCCTTCGCTAGGCCTCATTCTTTTGCCGCAGTTCCCGGTCGAGACTGGTGCCGAGTTTGGTATCTGCATGTTCGTGGTTGCTTCCTCTTGCCAATAGGCTGATTTGTGGAGGAATCTCAGCGGTTTTTCTCAGGTTATCTGCCGAGTTTGGGCCTTCACTGTAGGAGCTCTTGTAGCGTGCATCTAGTCAGGTTGCCTGTCCGGCTCCACCCCCCCACAAGATACTAATTTTATCGGTTTTTTTTTTACATCTGCACCACTGGACTAATACGGCTACAATCTCTACTTGAACTTTTTAGTATAGTTAGTTCAATATTAAGATTTAATTGTTTAAGTCTTGAGCCACATGATCTTAACTTCTTTCCAAAAAATAAATGTAAAGATTAATCGAGATGTCTAAAATGTAACTGGGAGGAGGCAGACTTCTTTCACTGCTTACAGGCATGTACATTTATGCATATTTATGTGAAATGCTGGTCAAGGGCGTAGTAGGCACGGCAGTCAATTTTATCTTGCATCTCTTAGAACCATGTAACTGGCAAAAGTCTGATTATGAAATGTTGTAGATATGTGATCATTATAAATTCAGAAAGTTGATTAGACAACTTTTAAAACAGAGTTATTACATTTATGTAGGTGACAGTTCCTTGCACCCCAACTATAGCATTTATTGAAGTAGCTAAAAAAGTTGCGGTCAATAATGCAGGTGAAAATAAAAAATACAAAAAATATGCTGCGCCTTCACACAGTGAGCTACTTAGCAGTCCCATCAAAACTTCAGGCATGGTCATACATCTACACCGAAATGCTGTATAAGCACATGCATTGCCTCACATCCTTTCAGCAGTGCTACACATGTGTGAATGGAATTGCAGGAGTTAATCTGATTTACCTGCCATGCCTGGTATCCCTGGCTCTGTATGTGAAGGGTTAACATAGGAATGAACAAGATTAAAAAAGAATAGCTGAATCAATAGGCAACTTTTTCTTAGCTATTCAGTGGCATAAAATTCTCAAATGTGACCGTTCTACTTTAATAAGATGATTTAACTGTAAGTGAATTTAAAGGGAAGGGAATCTATGGGTATTACTATGATTGTTAAGTATATGTTTGGCTGTTTCTCAGACCTTAAAGGGAACTGGCATGTTGTCAGATTTTTAATATTATGTTTATTTATTTCTATGTTTAACAAATATGTATTTGCAGGGAAGTATCAGGAAATCTTAGGAGAAAACGCCATGCCGTCTGTGAGGAAGCTCGAGCTTGGGCATTGTACCTTCCAACAGATAATGCTCCCAAGCATACCTCAAATTCCACCAAGGCTTGGTTGCAGAAGAAGTCCTGGTAAATTCTACAGTGGCCATCACATTCACCTTACTTAAGCTCATAGGTTTGGTTGGTCTCTGGTGGGATTTAAGGAAAGCGATTGCAGCACGCAAACCCAAGAATATTACTGAACTGGAGGCTAAGATTCCTCAGGAACTTTGCCAGAAACTGGTGTCTGGCTATGCATCTCATTGAGCTTTTTTAATTGTTTTTGTTTGATTTGTTCATTGAAAACAGCTGAAGGTTTGTTAAATTTGACAATAAACCTGATTCTCAATAGTGGTTGAATAATTTTGATTACAACTGTATAAAATAAAATGCATGGTGTCTAAGGAGCTTGTTCTTGCCTCATATCAGTGGATTTTCCCAGCAGGTAACAATACGCATATTTGTATATTACTAATCTTACAGGCTCAAGTCAGAATATAGTACTGAGCTCACAGTAGTATACTCTATCACAGATCAGTTTTCAGCTTTTTAGACAGCGTTTCTGGCATACCACTATTTCATTTCTGGAATCCAAACCACAACCTCTTACATACTTAAAACTCTTGGAGAAGTAATTAGCATATGTATTTTCATCACATGAGTATGTACTGACTGCTAACATAGAGTTAGCAAAGGATTATAAATACAAAATAAAAATTATTTTAGGTTTTATATTTTTTTTTGTATTGTATTTGTAGTGAAAATAAAAGGTCAATTTATCTTAAACGAGCAAGTTTGATTATTTTACTTTAAAGTATATGAAAAACAAATACACCCATATGTAAAAAAAAACAAAAAAACATAATTAGATTATCTCACTTGCTTCACACTAAAGCAAACAAGAATTTCAAAAATATTCATGTATCACAAAATCCACCGAGGCAACGTCAATGTGTGCTATAGTAAGTGTCTTTCATTTTAATTATTTCTCATTAAAACAAACATATCTAAAGGGTCATGGCATGCAATTTTGCAAAGGAGGACCTTAGGGAAGAATACAAAATAACAAACATTACCCAGAGGTTAAGTAAGACTACTCAAATAATTCCACTTATTTCTTAGTTGTGCAAAATATCTTCTGGCTCCTTGTGTCACATTTTACATGGTAAATACAACAGTGCATAATCAAGATTCATATTCATTCGATCTTGGTCTAACTATATTAATTACACATACAGAGCTCGGGGACTGTTAATGATTTTTTTTCTATTGTGCTTGTAGTCATCCTGGCATTGAAAGGATTGATATAGGTCCTGCAGATAATTTCGACAGATCTGCATTTGATTTGAAATGAATTGATCTAGCACAAACCGATACGCACAAATACCAAAAGGTCAGTTATATAAATCCTTTGCATCTATGAGCATCTATAGTTTATTAAACATGCATTTTTGACACTAGCAAGCTGTGGTTCTCACTCTGAGTATTTACCAGGCTGTATTTTTAACAAATGTATTATGATTAATAAGATACAAAAACTAATATTGCAGAGGCTAACATACGATTATTCCCTAATATACTCTAATGTACTCTTTTGTAATAATCTCATGTTTTGAAAGCTACAGAAAAGTTACAAATATTGCTGTAGGAACCATATAATTCTGGGAAGACAGTATATTATAATGTATTAGAAAACAACATCAAGCCTTAGCAGGCAGACTTAGAATTTTGGATTTTCTTTAGGCAATAATTATACACTATCACTGGAAAGGCTGTATGTAAAATGGGATATACAAAGTTGATTGATTATATTATCTACCTGACCTCAATTTTAAACATATACAGTTATAAAATGTGTTTTATTCCAGACAGGAGGTCTATATTATGCACAATCTTTATTTACTTACTCCCATAGCAGTAAAGAAAAAAATCATGTAATCAAACTTGAACAGACATTTCACACACTAACTTGATGAGCAGAATGTTATGGTAACCAATCAGAGAGCAGCAAAGTCTATATAAGTAGGACTACACTATTCACCATCTTTTATGTAGGTCATATCCGTTGAACACACTCCCTCTGTCTACTCCCTCACAGATAAGTGCACTTGCTACACAATGTATTTATTTCCTTACTTTCACTGAATTATGTATTTATTTATTTTTTAGTTTGTGTATTTACAGTCTCATGAGTTTAGGCTGATTGACTGATTTTCAGGGCCTGTGGTGGCCATCTTGAGATAGTACCCTTAATACTTCTTAATACAAAACATAAATGATGAAGGCTGCCATTCCAGGTATATCAAAAAAGGATTGTATCCCACAAAAGTATGGACATTTCAGCCATCAAATTAAATAAATTTAAAAAAAGTAAATTATATGAAATTGACCTGCTTAAATATACCATATCTTCTCACATATATATATATCTATATATATATATATATATATATATATATTAATAATAACAATAAAGCAATGCTCCAAATGTTAACATCAACACAAAGCTCAACTACTATCCCAATACCAATACATCTATGCTTAAAACAAAAATATGTTCCCAGGGCATTACATACAGTTCTACTTGAACGTTTTATATTGTACCATTTCCACTTATTTTTGTTACATATATTTGTTGTGATATTAGTTGAAATTTCAGTTGATGTTTATGCCAAATCATTAAAAGCTTGGTTAAATATTGTTTTTTCTAGATACCTGCAGTTGTGGCTTTTGTCGTTTATAGGCCAGGCAGTGTTGGTGCAAGGACTCCTGCTGACCTAGTCAATGATCCAATGACAATGACATTGTCCTATTATTATTATTACTAATATTATTGGTATATATATAGAGCCAACTAATTCTGCAGCATTTTACAATATTATGAAAGGGGGGAAAATTTACAATAAATGAGACAATTGCACAGTGACACAGGAACTATAGGTAGATGAAGGCCCTGCTCAAATGTGCTCACAGTCTAGAGAAGGTATACCTGAATCCATGTACCTAAATCTAATTGACGGTCTGAAATCTCTTCTCTTTCAAAGGCGATTTTAGTTTTGGAAAAAGCAAGGCACCAAATCTTTCAACAGATTCTCGACCAACTTTTGCATTTGTGCCAATCAGCGATTCCCCTTACTCCTGTTCCGGGTTTTGCCGTTTGCCCCACCTCCACATCTGACGTCAGACGTCCTCCTATTTAGACGAAGCCGCAGCAGTATTGAATCGCTGTTAGGAAGTAAAGATTCCCTGGGTCAGCAATTTTACTCATGCTATGGACTTTCATCAATTTGGAATTCTCTGTATTTCTCCTAATCTCCAACCAGCTCTTGAGGATTGCCAATGAACGAGACAGCACAGTGTAAGGTTTAAGGTGACTTCTGATGTTTAATAGGTGGTACAACAGATTAAATTCAAGAGGAAACATGGGTGGTCTTTATTCAATAATAACAACATAATTTGTCTATCTTATCTTAACATATCTTAACCTATAGAAACATAGAATGTGACAGCAGATAAGAACCATTTGGCCCATCTAGTCTGCCCAATTTTCTAAATACTTTCATTAGACCCTGGCCTTATCTTATAATTAGGATAGCCTTATGCCTATCCCATGCATGCTTAAACTCCTTTACTGTGTTAACCTCTACCACTTCAGCTGGAAGGCTATTCCATGCATCCACTACCCTCTCAGTAAAGTAATACTTCCTGATATTATTTTTAAACCTTTCCCCCTCTAATTTAAGACTATGTCCTCTTATTGTGGTAGTTTTTCTTCTTTTAAATAAAGTCTCCATTACTGTGTTGATTCCCTTTATGTATTTAAATGTTTATATCATATCCCCCCTGTCTCGTCTTTCCTCCAAGCTATACGTGTTAAGTTCCTTTAACCCTTCCTTGTAAGTTTTATCCTGCAATCCATGAACAAATTTAGTAGCCCTTCTCTGAACTCTCTCTAAAGTATCAATATCCTTCTGAAGATACGATCTCCAGTACTGCGTACAATATTCCAAGTGAGGTCTCACCAGTGTTCTGTACAATGGCATGAGCACTTCCCTCTTTCTACTGCTAATACATCTCCCTATACAACCAAGCATTCTGATAGCATTTCTTGTTGCTCTATTACATTGTCTGCCTACCTTTAAGTCATCAGAAATAATCACCCCTAAATCAGTTTCCTCAGATGTTGAGGTTAGGACTCTGTCAAATGTTCTGTACTCTGCCCTTGGGTTTTTACATCCAAAATGCATTATCTTGCACATATCCACATTAAATGTCAGTTGCCACAACTCTTATCCCTTCTGGAATGTCAACCCTGTTCGATATCTTAGTATCATCAGCAAAAATGCATACCTTACAATCAAGACCTTCTGCAATATCACTAATAAACATATTAAAGAGAATGGGTCCAAGTACAGATCCCTGAGGTAGCCCACTGGTGACAAGCCCATTGACTACAATCCTTGAATATACTCTTTGACTACAACCCTCTGTTGCCTGTCACTCAGGTACTGCCTTACCCATTCAACAATATTGTAATCCAAACTTAAAGATTGCATTTTATTGATAAGCCTTCTATGTGCAACAGTGTCAAAAGCCTTACTAAAATCGAGGTAAGCAATGTCTATTGCACCACCCTGATCTATTATTTTAGTTACCCAATCAAAAAAATCAGTAAGATTAGTTTGGCATGATCTCCCTGAAGTAAACCCATGCTGTCTCTGATCTTGAAATCCATGTGATTTTAGATGTTCAACAATCCTATCCTTTAACATGGTTTCCATTACTTTCCCCACTACTGAAGTAAGGCTTACTGGCCTATAGTTGCTCGACTTCTCTCTACTACCTTTCTTGTGAATGGGCACAACATTCGCTAGCTTCCAATCTTCTGGGGCTAGTCCTGTTAACAATGAGTGGTTAAATAAATCTGTTAATCATTTTGCTAGTACACCGCTAAGCTCTTTTAATAACTTTTGGTGTATTCCATCAGGTACCATTGACTTATTTGTCTTTACTTTTGACAGTTGAAATAGAACCATTTTCTCAATAAACTCACATGTAACAAATGACTCATTTGTCATTTTTCCTAACTGAGGCCCCTTTCCTTCATTTTCATCTGTAAATACTAAACAACAATATTCATTGCGGCAGTCAGCCTGACCTTTATCCTCTTCTACATACCTTTCTTCTTTTGTTTTTAATCTAACTAATCCTTGTTTTACTTTCCTTTTCTCATTTATGTATCTAAAAAATGTTTTGTCTCCCTTTTTTTTACAGACTGTTCTATTTTCTCTTGTGTGTGTGATCTTATAACTTACCTAGCCTCTTTCTGCCTAATCTTATAGATCATTTTGTCTTCCTCACTCTGTTTTTTTTAATAATTACTAAATGTTAACTTTTTGTTTTTTATTATTTCGGCAACATCTGCGGAGTACCACTGGTTTCTTGAATTTTTTGCTTTTACTGACAAGCCTAATGCAATTTTCTGTTGCCTTCAGCAGTGCAACTTTTAAATAATCCCATTTCTCTTGGACTCCATTTATCCCCTTAAGGACACATGTCATGATTCCCTTTTATTCCAGAAGTTTGGTCCTTAAGGGGTTAAATTGCTCCAGTCTGATAATTACTCCTTTACACATATTCTAATTTTAGAAAAGTCTGTTTTTCTAAAGTTTAAAACTTTTGTTTTTGTGCGATGTGACTCAGTCACTGTTCTTATATTAAACCTGACTGATGATCACTGGATCCTAAACTTTTACCTACAGTAAGATCTGATACCAAATCTCCATTTATTAACACTAAATCTAGTTTGACCTCTTTATGAGTTGGCTCCTCAACGACTTGTTTTAGAGACAATCCCAGTAGGGAGTTTAGAATATGTGTGCTCCTGGCACAAGTAGCTATTTTGGTTTCCAATTCACATCAGGAAGATTAAAGTCACCCATGATTATAACTTCCCCCTTCATTGTCATTTTAGCTATTTCCTCAACCAGTAGATTATCTAACTCTTCTATTTGTCCTGGGGGCCTATAAAATCACACGTACACCAAATTCTAACGTAACCCAAATGGACTCTATGTTCACCTCACTAACTTTATTAGGATAAATTGTATGCTCTCCTTCACATACAGGGACTTTTCTATATAAAGAGTTCCCAGTCATTTTTCTCATTATACCATGTCTCAGTAACAGCGACTAAATCTACATTATCAGTTGCCATTATTGCCACAAGTTCATGGATCTTATTCCCTAAACTGCGAGCATTTGTAGACATGACTCCAAGCTTATTATTTTTAACACACTTGCTACAGGCACCTTCTGTCCTTGTTTTGGGGGTCAATTGGATTGATGTTTTATCACCCTTTTGCCCCCCCTCTCCCCTAGTTTAAATACATCCTAGCAAAACCTCTAAACTGCTCACTGAGAACATTTGTTCCCTTTTAAGAAAGATGCAAACCATCTTTTTTGTACAGTTTATTTCCATTCCAAACACAGCTACCATGAGAAATGAAGCCAAATCCTTGCTCCCGACACCATTCACCAAGCCACAAGTTTAAGTCATTAATACGCATCCGCCTGTCATTCTGAGTGTTATGCACAGGCAGAACTTCAGAGAATGACAGTGTGGAAGCAACCTGCCATATATCATTGGCAAAAACACTAGAAACTTCCTTTACCTCTGAAACCTCATTGCAAGCCAAATCATTTGTCCCTAGATGGAAGAGTACATCCAATTCCCTTCCTGCTTTGCTCGCTTAACAATATTACAAATACGTCTCCTGTCTCTGTGAGCAGTAGCTCCGGGAAGACATCTCACAAGACCACTACTGTCCAGCTCCACACCTCTTATGATAGATTCACCCAACAACAACTGCTTTCTATTAGGCCTCACCATAGTCTCCAAGCCGGTCTCCACAACACCACTACACTTAGTGCCTGAGCCTGTCTCCACAACACCACTACACTTGGTGCCTGAGCCTGGTGCCTGAGCCTGTCTCCACAAAACAACTTCCCTCAGCGCCTGAGCCTGTCTCCACAACACCACTACCCTCAGTGCTTGAGCCTGTCTCCATAACACTTGGTGCCTGAGCCTGTCTCCACAGCACCACTACCCTCAGTGCCTGAGACTGTCTCCACAACACCACTACCCTCAGCGCCTGAGCCTGTCTCCACAACACCACTACCCTCAGTGCCTGAGCCTGTCTCCATAACACTTGGTGCCTGAGCCTGTCTCCACAACACCACTACCCTCAGTGCTTGAGCCTGTCTCCATAACACTTGGTGCCTGAGCCTGTCTCCACAACACCACTACCCTCAGTGCCTGTCTCCACAACACCACTACCCTCAGTGCCTGAGCCTGTCTCCACAACACCACTACCCTCAGTGCCTGAGCCTGTCTGCATAACACCACTGTGGTGCCTGTGCCTGTCTCCATAACACCATTACACTCTGAAAATGAATTATTTAGAGCAACAGACTGTGCAATAGGCCTTTTATCCACAACTCTAAGTCTACCAGATCCTACAGTAATCCATCTGCCATTCCTAGTATGTCTCTGCGGCAGTGGCTTTGCAGTAGTTCCAGCCTGAGTTTGTTTCCCAGATAATTTACAAACCTCAGACTTCAAAAATGCAATCTCCTGCCGTAATATAGAGAACTGTCTACAGATAGACAACATCCAAATCTCCAAAAAGTGGAACGTTAAACAAATGCATAACAACTATTACACTGTACTAAGTCTGCCATTTTAATGAGGTGAATAATTTAAATCAAACAAATATTTTTTTTTTTTTGTCCTCCTGTATACCTCAGATTACCTCCAGTTTCTCTCCAGAATATCTCTAATCACACACTTTGAAGCAACACTTAGATGTGGAAACCAAGCTATGTTAACCAAGCTAATGACCACAACCCTTATAAAACTTCTAAAAGCACAACCCACTAGGAATGTTAAACACCAGGGTAGGCCTATGCTTATTTGCAAACAATAGCAAATTAACCAACAATCAATAGCAAGCACATAGCTAATCAAATGCCTTACCTATTAACAACAGGAAATAAAACCTTTTGCAATCAGTAACCTTTTCCTATAGATGAATCTTACCAATTACCAACAGGAAAATAAAACCTTGTGCAATCAGTAACCTTTTCCTATAGATAAATCTTACCTGTAACAGTAAAAAAGAAAACTCTTAGCAAAATCTTAGACATTGGGAAGATTCTGTAAAACTCTCCAGAATATCTCTAATCACACACTTTGAACAGCACTTTGATGTAGCAACCAAGCTATAGCTGGCTTGCAGGTGCAATGGGTGGGAGGGTAATCTTGTCTTGCACTATGCAGTTAAAAAAAAAAAGAGAAGTAACTATAAACTTACAAATAGAAATGTTACTATGCAGTTAGAAATACAGAAGTAGAAAACAGGAAATAAGACCAGCGTCCTGATATAGGAAAGTTTAAAACTCTGTGTCTAGGGGTATATTCACTAAGCGTTGTATAGATAAAGCAGATTACCTAAAATCGTAATTAAGTGAATATACCATTATATCAGCTTCTGGAGATTCTTTTCGGCTACAGTTATTTGTTGATTATAAAGACTTATATTTGGAGTATTCTGTCTTGGAATGTATAGTCCTTAGGCAGCCAGGATACACTCGGTTCTTGTTTAAAGTGACGGCATCTTTGCTGAAAGAATCTGCATTTAGTCCACAACTCATTTAAAGTTACATTTCACTTCTTTAATTTCACTAAAGTGACTCTCCACTTTACCAAACCTTCTAAAGGGATTGTGTATTCTATTATGGAGCTCAAGGTTACTACTCATTTATTAAAAATATTCAAAAATAATGCTCAACTGCTTAAGGAGTTTAAAGTGACTGTTCATTTATTTAAAGTTGTTGAGATTTTTGCTCAACTTCTCAAGCTATTTAAAGTGAAATTGTATCTATCTAAAATATTTAAAGTGAAAGTTTGTTCTATCAAGAAATCTTATAGAAACATTTCATACTTGCCATAAACATTCTAAATCATATTCAACTTCTTCAAAGTAAACACTCTTTCTGATATTATTAGAAAAATAAGTGACAAATTAAAAAGTTGAATCTGCAGTTGTGTTCCAGTTTTTCTTTTGCTTCAAATTAAGCAAAACACTAGTACAGTTAAGTCATCACTGTTCACGCATTCCAGTCCACTCTTCTTGGCTGTCAGATTATATTGATGTAGCGCAAACCATTCCATATATAAACAAGGGCTTTTTCCAGACAGATCTCGTATATCCATATACCCATACTGCCTAATACATACAGGTGATACTCGAAAAATTAGAATATCATGCAAAAGTTCATTTATTTCAGTAATGCAATGTAAAAGGGGAAACTAATATATGAGATAGACACATTACATGCAAAGCAAGATAGT